CCCTCTGGGCTCGCAGCCCGAGGCAGCCAGCAGAGGCCACAAATGGCCCCGGGAGCTCTTGGAAAGCCAGGCACTTGGACTCTGGCCCTGGAGCATCGCAGAGCCACAACTCACACTCTAGAAGCGGCCCAGGCTGTGTGGGCACCATTGGGAGCATTCCCAAAACCATTCACAAAGTAGATGGTTTAAAAAAAAAATAAATCAACTTTTGGGTGAGAAACTGAGATACTACAGTTAGTCACTTCAAATTTACATTGCATTTGAGTTCACCAGGTCTTCAGGTAAGCAATAATTTTTTTTTTTTTTTTTTTTTTTTTTTGCAGTGAATTGAAGAAAGAATAGTGTTCATTGTAAAAAAAAATAAAAATGCAAAGACCAGTTCTCTTACTACACATACTATATGCTTCCAAAGAATGTGGTATTGAGGGGCAAAAACGTGGCATAATGATAACTCACCATAAAAAAGCCTTTCCCCAAACAATCCCAAAATAGGTAAATAAAAAGTAGGAAGTATTCTAGAGGTTTATGCAACTCTTAGAAAGATGAAAAGGAAGATTTTTCTATACAAAGTAACTGTCACATGCAATTGCCTTATTAGGGGAAGTCAAACCCAATTATAGTAATGCCAGGAGAACATGACATGAACAACCTCTGATCTCCATGAGAGCCCTCTCTCCCCTGCCAATTCCTAAATCTTTGTGCCTCTATCACATACCAATCTCCCCCACTAGATTTTCAGCCTTGTGGATGCAAAAATAAAGTGCCTGCACATTGTAGGCACTGAATCAATGGTTCAAATTGTCAAAAGTATGTAACACCGATGAGAGGATATGATGATGGACATGTTATACCATTCTCAAAGATTCCACTAAAAATCTAAGAAAACTACAGATGCATCATGGTCATAATGGCAAGGGAAAAAAATGCTTACCTAGAGATAAATCAATAATAGTCAGAAATCCCTTCTTTTCAAGAGACTACATGTAGGAAGAAAAGGGGTTAAACTATGTAGTGCCCTCCCATATTCTTGAAAATATCATATTCTGCAAAACTGTACACTAAAAATAACAGAACTTAGGTAAAAGATTGTTAATAGCTGCAAAAGTTTGTAACTAGAGCACTATCCAAAACATTAACAATACTATTTAAACTGCTAGCACAGTGAAGTCTGTACTGGTGCGTGTCGCATCCTTATCGACTTGAACTCCAGGGCTTCTGCTTTTTTGAGATGAAGGTCCTGGACGGTTTTGGTTTTCTTTTTTTTTCTTTTTTTAATATATTTTTATTGATTTTGTACAGAGAGGAAGGAAGAGAGATAGAGAGTCAGAAACATCGATGAGAGAGAGTCATCGATCAGCTGCCTCTTGCACACCCCCTACTGGGGATATGCCCGCAACCAAGGTACATGCCCTTGACAGGAATCGAACCCGGGACCTTTCAGTCCCCAAGCCGACGCTCTATCCATTGAGCCAAACCGGTCCCGGCCGGTTTTGGTTTTCCATGGAGATTATTTTCATGAAATTTAATCCAAGGATTACTAATCCATTGATTTTCATTAATTCCCTCCATTGTTTTAATGATCACAGGGGTAAATGTTTTTGCAGTGTATTTGTTTGCACTTGCAGCATTTCATATAAGGCACCGCTTGCAGGAAAGAAAGATATTCGAGATCCCTCATTTTTTCCCCTTAGTCTTCATAGTTTGCTAAGCTTAACTCTTACATTGTAGAAAACTTGTCTTTGTTACAAAACATTTAATGTGCTGGGCAAAATCATGCTGGAACCAACACAACTTCTGTTATACTAACATCATTTTCAAATGCATTTAGTAATTATGTTAAAAACAACCACCACCACCACCAACAACCTTTTAAGAGAACAGACAAACTGGTAAGTGGCTAACCCAAGTATTGGCATATGTGACCCAAATTTATAGTAGTAGTTGTTGTAACAGCTGTAATGATGATAGCTAGCAATACTTATTGAGGCTTCCTATGTACCAGACAGGATGCTAAACACTCTATAACTTTCTACGAATTGCTCCATTTATTCTCCATAAGACTCTAAGAAATAAAGAAACAGATATTTAATGAGATTAAGTCTTAACCTCTGTCCAATGTTACAAAGCTGTCAAGTGGTAAAGCTAGGATTTGAATGTAGATAATTTTGACTCAACGGCATCAACTTTTAATAACCACAATGAAATAGTATTTCTTCTCGTCCAATGGAAGCATGAAATAATTGTATAATAGTAACCGACAGTGTAGCTATTGCTCTGCCAACTGGTATGTGTATAGACGCTGATGTGATGTATGTGCCTAAAAAACCTCTAAGCATTCGTAGACGGCTTATTATTTTTCCAGATTTAAACTTTCTGGCTGGGATGTGAGGGCAATCTTTGGACATGGCCAAAGAAGAATTCCAGAAGAATGACACCTCCTTCCCAGTTCTTTCCAGCTGGGTCAGAGGCCCACGGAGATGACTCAGACTGTGCGAGGGCCTTGGAGCGGACACACGGACACACTTCTGAATACCACAGAAGACACCAGACGGCATGGGGGTAGGGGTGATGGTAATTAGGACTGGGGAATTCATACCCAACGAGAGCCAGGACTTCAGGTATGGATGCCAACAAAAGAATTTGGGTGGAATTTTGACTCTTCACTTATTTTTTTTGTTTGTTTGTTTGTTTTTTGTGGGGGGTTTTTTGTCTACTGTATCTGTGTGGTTGAAACACCATCTAATGGCATGTTATTGTGCACTCTTCCTAATTTTGATCAGTGATGTCTCATTGATAGCTTGCAATCAGCCACAGTGAGCTGATTTATACCATGGAAATCAGCAAATTCTATGAATGAGAGCACCCCGCTCATCCCTGGCTGGGTGTCGAACATTTACCAGCACACACTTCCGGGTTCAGTAAATGTTTCTTCCTTGTACCCCAAACATGCACAAACACTGCACCCCACTCACCCATCAAGGAGTGAACTGAATCTTCATTTAAGTGCAATTTAACAACTGTGCATTATACACTTACTATGTGCCTGGAATAGAACTATGCCAAATGTTGAAAACTACAAAATGGAATGATCCATCAAAACCTCACAATCCTCTGGAGCTTAACTATAGGCATTTCATTGAACAAACTGCCAGGCACCGTTCTTGGCACTTTACATGCATTAACTCACTTGATTCTCACAACCCAATGACCTGTGACCTAATATTCTCCCTATTTTATAGCTAGGGAGCTGAAGTGCAGAGAGATTAAGAAACCTGTCTAAAGTCACATAGCGTTAGGTGAGCAATTAGGACCTACGATTTGGTCCTAGCCTGTTTGAGTCCAGAGCCTACATTCTATTTTCCCTGAGCTCTCTCTCTAGTAGAGGGAGAAAGGGGTGTTAGATAGAGGTACACAGGGGAACACTGACAGAGGAGAAAGTGACAGATTCCGCTTTGGGGGTGTCTGGCAGGAGAGCCAGTCCAGCCGAGGCTTTTGTAGCAGATGTGGACGGCTCTCAGGGGCAGCCGGCGAAGCAGTAGGGGCAGAGGCGCAGAGGTAAGGAATGGCCCAGTATGCCTGCCCTTTGCTATGGTGGAAATACAAAGCAGACAGGGCAGGGCGACAGGAGATGAAAGCCCAGAAGTAGAGAGAGAGAGAGAGAGATCAGATAGAGAAAGAATTTTATTCTAAGAACTTCCCATACTAAGGAGTTTCTTTTTTAGGTGGGAAATATTAAAATGGGTTTTTAAACAGGAGGCGGGGGCAGTGATGTCACCCAGTTTGTCTTTTTACGTCTAGCTGCAACATGAAACATGGAAAGATGTGGAGAGAGGGCAAAACCCAGAAGTGAGAGACCCTAACAGCAGCTTCAGGGGGAATATGGCGGGAAGGATGGGGAAGGGGCCGAGTAGAAACATTTCTTGAGGCAAAGTCAACAGGACTTGCTGACTCAGGTGTGGAGCTGGAAAGCTGAGGGAGGAGGTTTCCTCATTAGAGTAAAGCTTGGTACGTGCCAAAGCCCTCACTGTGTGATGTACGCCGGCCCTAGACCCTTGCCCGGGGAAAACGGACTTAAGGGGGCGCTGCACTTTTAGACGTATGGAACTCACGTGCAGTTAACACCCGATTCCTGACATTATGTTCACCTTCCCTCCTGCAGTGTCCGAAGCCCCCATTGAGGAAAACAGCAGACGTCACTCTGCTGACGACTACTAGCTTCCTAACGCATCGCCCACCGTCCCAGCGCAATGTGGCCTGGGAGCCGGGGCCCACCGGCAGATAACTGCCACCTGGCGCCCCGGCACTGTGATGATGATCATTTATCTCAGTTTATCTTCTTTTAAAAATTAAAAAAAATATATATATTTTTTTAGTCCTCACCAGAGGATATCTTTCCATAGCTTTCAGGCAGACTGGAAGGGAAGAAGGAAGAGGGAGAGGAGGGGGAGGGAGACTTTGATCCGTTGCCTCCCGACGTGCCCGACAGGGGCCGGGGAATGAACCCCCGCAACCCAAGTATGTGCCCTTCAGTGCGCGGGCAGGTGCTCTAACCACGGAGCCACCGGCCGGGGCTCAGTTTACCTTATTTCCTGAAGTAACATCCAAGATGGATAAATTACCCCACCCCTCAGATTGGTGGAGAAGACAAAGTACCAAACGCCAGGAAGAAGTGATAGCTCCATGCTTATAACTTTGTCCTCTCCCTCAGCCGTTGGAACCTGCCTCTCCGCTTTATTCCGGGCTCTCAGTGGGAAGCTCGTGGGCTCTGCGGAGCCTGAGCAAGTTCAGGAGCAAAGCCCACTCAGCGAAGGGCGAGGCCACAGCTGGGAGGGTGACTCATGCTGCATCCAGAAAGAAAACAGATGGCCTCAGCAGTCTGGTGGTAACGGGGCAGTGGTGGGGCGGGGAGGACATGCGGAGAGGGGCCACTGCCTCTTCCAGGAAACCGGGTAGTGAGACAGTTCTGGTGGGAAAAGACCCGAAAAATCAAGTCCACTTACTGATACATGAAATCAGATCATTAAATCTTTCCTTAGGAAAGAGGGGGTTTTCCAGCCCACGGAAATAGAGCTTCAGAACGCCAGCAACTGAGTTAATATCGTGGTTACTCTGGTCATCGGCCAAGGGGTTTTCACCTAAAAAAAATAAAATAAAAATTAGTGATAGGCAGTGTTTCTTTTTCTTCTACACACACACACACACAGACTTCTATATAGACATGTATCTTTTAATTATACTTTATGAACGATTATACGGTACTAAAAAGAGACGGTTTAGAGATACCACCCCATGATTAAGTTAGAAATAGTGGACTAAAAATAAAGGTTTTTAAAAAATCTTTTGCTACCAAATAATCCCTTTCAAGCTACCAAAATCCAAAAATAAAATATTGTGGGATTTGAAATTTTACCCAAGTTTTTTTTTTCTCTTTTCTTTTTGAGGCTAAAAATCTGTAATCTTAGTTTTGACATGAATTCAAATACTATACTCTTAACCCACTGGGAAAAAGAGGTAATTCAGGGCTGTCTGGCTGTCCTACTGGATCAGCAAAATGTATAAAAAATATTACAAGGTCTCTCCTCCTCCTCCCCCCTCCCCCCCCCCCCCGACTGTGGACACCTGTAATTAAATTAATAAGTGTTTATCAAAGTGGCGAGGTGGTGCTCCCAGCATATTTGGAAGCTGCCGTGAGCAGTGGAAGATTTTGAAATCAGACAGTGGGATTTGAAAATGTGCCCTAATGTGTATGGAAAGTGGAAATTAAAAAATATATATATATGTCACAAATATGAAATTATATTATTTCTGTATGGTTAGCAGAGTTCAAAACTACTAGCTTAGTGTCCTGGCTAGTCCACCTCCCTGAGAAATTGAGATAAAATCCTCAAACTCAGCATAATATCATGCAGTCTTAAATCGAATTCTGCCTTTTATTCACAAGACTGCTTTTCTCTTCTAAAGTTCACAATAATTGCACACTGCATTTTAACTTGTATTTGTTTTTTTTTTCCCCCTCTTGAGGCAGTTTCTGGGACATATCCCTTTTCTCTGCTCCTCGGTGGAAATCACCGAACAAAAATGTACCAAAATATATATTTTGTATCCAGTGTGACAAAGCCTCACCCAGAAAGGTCACAAACAAATAACAGACATCAGGGGAATCGCCAGGGAAAGCTAATGATGCCTGTGCGGCTGGCATGGGAACCCGCGGCTTTACTACGTTTCAGCTTCTCCTGAACGTGGTCCACGTTCGAGACCTGGAACCCTGAGCTGCCGACAGCGGAGGCTTCTCCGCTCTGCACATCCTGAGAATTTGAAACAGGAAAGCAATCTGGCTCCACGTTTACTCTCCAACCAAGGTTTCAGAATTTCAAGGGCTCTCTGCCAAGCCTGGGCCAGGGGACACGGGGCCGGGAGAGAAAGCAGCCCGGTCTCCATGCCACCATGCCCCTCCCTCTGCATTCCCCGCCTGGCTTCCGTGCAGAGGAAGGAAGGGGCAGGTGCGTCCAGATCGCTGTAACTGGAGAGCGTTAATAACCCAGAGCCATCGCTAAAGAGCTGGGCATTCTCATGGATGACACCTAATCCTCAACACCAACCCTGGCATTTTTGCAGATGAGGAAACCGAGGCCAAAGTAAGAGTGGAGTAACTTGGCCCACATTAGTAAATGGGAAGTCTGACTGGATTCTAGGTCTGCCTGACACAGAAGAGTATGGTTTTGCTAATCATAATGAGCTAATGAACAGCTTAGTAGGACTTAAGTGACAGCTAACTGTGGACAGCAATAAGGTACCACTAGGAGCGTGGGGATGGAAGGAAAGAGTTCCCAACAAGGAAATGGACATGAACCTCAAACACCTGCTTGCCAGGCCCAGGGCCGTCCTCGCCAGCTTCCAGGGCCCCTCCTGCGCCCCTGGACACACGTGCCCAGGATGATCACTGCCAGTTCTCACCCAGGACAGCCTCACACGCTCTCCAATGCTCAGTGACAAAGCCTTATGCAAGATCACATGGCTCTCATTTCTTAACTGCCCTACATAGATTCTTACTTCAATTTCCAAAAGGAAATAAATGCAAAGAGAAAGGTTTCGAAGGTATACAGAGGGCGTATGCCACCTCGCTCTCCAGAAAATGATGGCTTTTCCCATGACTTGCAATTACCTCTCTCAAACGAATTTTTAATGTCATTGACTTCCACCTGGGAACCGGACACTCGGAAGATCCCCTGGTGCTGAAGACCTAAAGAGAACGGGGGGAAACAGAGTGAAAGGTCCCCTTACAGCCTCCAGGTCCCCTCTTTCCCACCAATTGAATACTCAGCGGAAAGACACATTTACTGAACTATTCCCAGTGGTTATTTTTAAAAGTAAGAATTCCACAGTTCATGGCTTACCATAGAGATTGATGAACCGAATACAACTTTCCACAATGAGGGGGATGATCTGCCCCGAGTCCTGCGTAAAGAGGTAGAAACCAGTTAACGGCACAGGAGAGGCGTAAATCACACATCATCATAACGCTCATAGTTCAACTACAAGGAGGGCACGGCATTGATCATCTGAAAGATGATCATTTCCACGCCCCCCCCACCACACCCCGAAAATAGTACCCAAGGGCCAACATTAAAATTAATCAAAGGTATGTTTCCATTCTGGAGCAAACCAAATAAAATGCCTTTAAAGCAATCCTGCTTCAGCTCGACACTGCTGTGCATCTCTTCTACTCGCACGTAGGCTCACATACCAAAATGAATCTATGAGCCACTCACTTTTTAAAAGGCTGTTGATGCAGGTAATCTAACGGACTTAAAGAGAACCGTGCAAACTAGACACCAAGCACAGCCTTTCGGTCTTCCAGGGTCCTCTCCAGGACATCCCGAGAGGCTCCATATTCCCAGATGCATGACATGACAACTGCTGTACAGGTGCTTATAACGGGCAATGTGTTTATTTCGTTTGCACCAGAACGTACTCATCCTGACTGATTTTTTTTTAATTGATGCTTTTTCCATGATTTAAGGTGTTTTTTTTTAGTTTTTTTTTTTTTTTTTTTAATGACACAAATGCATATCCCAGTAGACTTCTTTTCTTAGGAAGGAGTATTTTTTGGCCATGTCTCCCCCCCCCCCCCCCCCATCTCTGCTGAACACATGTGTTAGGAATGTTTTAAAACATGGAACAGATGACAAGTGAGAGGAAGGAGCTGCAAGGTCACCGTTAAACGTGGACCCAGGCCCCGCACTCCACGTCGTCACAGGTTAGTGATGGGGGAGTTGTTTTTCATGTACTTTGGACTCTGCTCTTTCAGAACTTAGATCTTAAAGGACACATGGAGGTTCGAAATGATTAGCTGACATTAGGTACTAAATTCATGAGGAATTGTATTATGAAACACAAGGAGAATTTGGCTGTCTTAATAGATGAGAACAATTCGGAATCCACTAACCTTTCCAATTAAGTCTCAGGGGAAGGATTAGGAATAATGTGGTTCAGCAATTGAAACTGGTTACTATTCCTAGAATGGGCAACGCACCGCTTGAGGAGTAGTTTTACTTCAGGTTTTAAGACAATCTGTATAAACCAGCTATTGGTTCCATGGCTTCTGGAGCTTCTATTAAGTTTCTCTAAGAGTTCATTCTATTTTTTAGGAATGTAAACTTCTTTAATTTCTTAAAGAAGGTCCTTAAGAGTGCAAACTCTTTTTTGGTGTGGACTAGCTGACACAAGAATAACAACATGATTATATCAAAACCTTCTGAGTAGGTGAGGGGATTTTTTCTTTAAGATACAAAAGTGTGTTTTAGAGGAAGAAACCTTTATATGAACAACACATGTAACATTGTAAAAAAGCAACAAATATCTAAATGTAAGTGATAATAGGAGAATATTAGTTTGCATCTCTGCTGAACTGAGTGTTAAAACAAGAAGAAAACACAAAGAATAGAAGGTTATTAAAAGAAAAATGTTTGCACTAAAATCCTGCCAAACAAAAATGTCTTATTACTTAACACCTATTTTTTCCGTGTGGTTACATTTACTCAAGTAATTGCTATCCTTTTAGCTGTTATCAGTACTTCATTCAGGTATAATGAATTCTGGAGTAGAAATATAACGTGTGTTTTAATTTTGTGGATGCCAGCTGCTTTGGTGGCATACTTTTCAAGAAGTGAGCTGTGTTCCACCTCCCATTCAAAGGAATCCCTTTGTGTCCCTGTGTTCCCAGGGCACAGAGAGGAGAAATGGTTTTGCTCTTGTTGCCTCGTGGTGGTATTGCGGGGATCCCGGTGATGGAGCACTTTTCAGAAGCGCAGAGACCGCTGTGTGTACTGTGCTACTGCTGTTCCCAAAGATTCTTTAGTGCGCCCTCTGGGACAGCGAAGGGCGTACATAGTGAACGTCCCAGGATAACCAGTTTACTCCTTCTCGAGTACCTACATTCGGTTTCCTTTCATTGTTCTTAATGAAAAATCTTTAAAAAATACAGTCTGGCCGAAACTGGTTTGGCTCAGTGGATAGAGCGTCGGCCTGCAGACTGAAAGGTCCCAGGTTCGATTCCGGTCAAGGGCATGTACCTTGGTTGCAGGCACATCCCCAGTAGGGGGTGTGCAAGAGGCAGCTGATCGATGATTCTCTCTCATTGATGTTTCTTACTCTCTAACCCTCTCTCTTCCTATCTATGAAAAATCAATAAAATATATTTTAAAAAAATACACCCTGTGCTTTTCTCTCAACTTCGGCAGTCATTCTCACGCTGTGCTATCTGATGGAACAGAAGCATCCATGTGCTTTCCTGAGCTTCCCTGCATCCTCTCTCTCTGCCAGGCCGTCCGGCTGCCCATCTCAGTGATCCCAGTGGACCAGTCCCTCTCTCCAGCTAACTGACCCCCACTTATAACAAGCCTGGGAAACCAGATAATCAAACCTGAAAATAATTTTATATTAAATTAGAGCCAATAGGGCTCTTCTGGGTATAAGGCGATGGCAGTGCATTTGTGATTACTGTTTAGGTGTCCGGTGGCCTATCACGTCATTCCATGGTTAGGGCTAATGCTTAAGGCCATGCATGCACATATCTTTCTGTCCATACATGAGTCACATGTGCGCACAAATGTTTAAAAGTCATTAGTGTTCACAGTCAATAAAAGATCTGATTTTAAAGAAGATAAGATAGGTGTAACATATTATTAAGGGAGATTATCAATGATGTAGTTTCCTATATAAAGTTATTTTATTTTTTGTCTATTTCACACGGGGGTCCATAATCCGGTATGAAGTGTGCATTTGGTATTGAATATTGACTCCTTATCATAAAAGTCCAGGGACTCAAATTTGGTCTGTTTGCCAAATTACACAATATGAAAACGATGAGTTTATCCAGTTTTACCAGAGAAGACTATTCTTCTTAAATCAGTGTCTGATTTCTACCATGCCTTTCTAAGCAAAGCCAATTAGAATAAGGTGACCAGACATCCCGATTTTTACCAAAATTAGTAAAAATCGGCACTGTCCCGCCAAAAGCGGGACGTCTGGTCACCTTATATTAGAAGCCTGTCTAATTTCCAGCGGCAAACGTTTTTCTTTTAAAGACCTTAAAAAGCCCGATGAAAGCCAAGCATGACGATGATTGGAAAAGGACACCGCGGGCGAAAGAGGCTGCGCCCTCACCTCCCTCTAGCACTATACCTGGTGTCTCGCGTGCGAGTTCCTTCGTCCTCGGCTAGAAGCATTGCCAGAAATACAGGATGAAAAAAGAAGACAGAGTAAACACGGCAGAGATACAAGATACAGACCACAGGGTCTTACAATTCATCCAATATAATGAATTCCTCAAGTCACGGGAAATCAGAACTCTTGCTGAGCTGCAGAGCTACCCTGACAAGGGACTTTGATATTTTGTGCCACCTTATTTGCACGAGTAAAAAACAAAACATTTTATCAGGTAGCTCTTTTTCTTTTTGTACAAAAAAAAATTTCTTTCTTTTTTTTTTAAAAGAGGCTTTCTCTTTTTGCCAGCACAATAACACCCACATTTATTTCTTCTTCTGAAGGCACTCAAACCAAATATTCTTTTCTCTCTGACTTCAGGAAATATTATATTGATTTTTCTGGGAAAGCAAAGAGCCCCAGGACAGACTTGGACATAATGACCTGCCTCCGTGTATGAGAGGCCGAGACCATTATAGTGAGAAGCATGGAGATCAGCCACCCAGATGGCTGGTGCCAGTACCTTGACGAATGTTTCCAAATCCCCATTAAACAACTTAGCATTATACTGTGAGCGGGGTCTGGACTTCCTGTGTTTCTGGGGCTTAGGGGGAACATTTGGAGGCCTGAGGGAAGGGAATATAATTACTGAGCATGGCAGAAATCAAACAACGAACGAAACACCCATAGGTCACGTCAAAATTATAAAACACAGGAATTCTGTGTTCCTTCTCCACCCCCACCCTTGGGGAAAAGAGTCCTTCCCCTTTCCTATGTATTTGCTTTTACTTATGTACCACCAACTATACAAGCTATTCATCCAGACCATGCTTTTCTCGCGTGTCGTAGTCCACATCTGCTTCCTGGTTTGTTTAAACACGGTAAGCATCTCCCTGGCTGGTGTACCTCAGTGGCTCAGTCTCGTGTCCTCCCATACACTGAGAGGTGGTTGAGGGTTCCATTCCCAGTCCAGGCACATACACAGGTTTCGGGTTTGATCCCTGATCAGGGTACGCATGGAAGGCAACTGAGGTACGTTTCTCTCTCATAATGTATTCCTCCCCCCTCCTTCTCTCCCCTTCTCCCTGCCTCTCTCTCTCTAAAATAGTAATAAATGGAAAAGAAAAAAAAAGATAAGCATCCCCAAATGGAATTGAGAACTATTTGGGCCAGTGTCACAAACCAAGATTTGTGATTTGTCTTGTGCAGCTTATAAGTCACACAGAAGGCATGACAGGTCATAAAAATTAAGGCTCTGATAAATCCCAACATGAGCAATGAAATATCACATTTTTAGTTACAACATAATGCTTCGAGGCACATAACATCGTATCTGTTCAATAGCCCTCAGGTATCATGGGATTTGACTTCATGCAAAAGTAGCCGTTAATGGATCACGAGGGAAAAGATAGAGTTGGGTTTCAATGCTCTTCCTTGGGAAGGGGTGCACACACTCGTGTGAACTGTTGTTTCCTTAAAGCACACTGTCTCCCACCTAGATATGTGCAGAGTGTTAGGATGCACCAGTTCTTTCTGTTCTGGACTCCCTCCATCTCCCCCCACAGTCTGTGCTCTGGCGGATAAGCCAGTCTCTCTGGCGTGGGCACCCCAGGGCACCATCTACCCTCTTAAGACACCTTGTAGCATCTTGCTCTGTGATGGGTGAGGGAACCTTTTCTGTCCTCTTCCTTTAGAGTAGGGGTGTCGAACTCAATCAGAGAAGGGGCCAAAATCTAAAATCCAGCCTAAATTGCAGGCCGAATGGTTTACTGAACAGTCATAAACTGTCATTGTGATGGAAACGCAGCAGAGTGCAGTGATGACAGCGCGGTGCGGGCCACATTGCAAGGCCTGGCGGGACGGATTTGGCCCGTGGGCCTTGTGTTTGACACATGTGCTTTAGAGCAAAGAGGCCCAGGATTGTCCGACTCAACTTCTACAACGGTGCTGAGTGAAATACAGAAGCGTCCCTAGACCTCTCTCTGTGGACATTCCAATGTGAACTTTTTGGTGGGAGGCTTCTATGAGGATGTACTTCACACCTGGAAATCAGGTAAAGCCCTTCATGAGGCAAACTCTTTAGGAAGAATTTGAGCTCATAAAGGTTTAGGACAGTGGTTGGCAAACTCATTAGTCAACAGAGCCAAATTTCAACGGTACAATGATGGAAATTTCTTTTGAGAGCCGAAAACTGACTTCTGCACACGGGCCACGAAGTTTCAATCGCACTGTACGGGCGTGCATGCATGTGGTATTTCGTGGAAGAGCCATACTCAAGGGGCCAAAGAGCCACATGGTGGCTCGGGAGCCGCAGTTTGCTGACCACTGGTTAGGGAGGCCAGTTTGGACAGAAAACCCTTGGGGATTTACGTGGAAGCCCATCAGGCTTCCTAAGATATCACCACTGCCATCAGCAGCAGTAACCTGAGCCCCACAGTGCTTGAGAGGTGAAAGGGGCAGATGTCCAGAAGCAAACAGGGATGCTCCCTACTAGGCAGCATGTCATAATCTGCCGCCCCTGAAACTTCTGAAATCTCTTTTATACACTGACTCCTGTGCCATCCACAGAGGAAAGGATCTGGTAGATTTAAAAAGACAATGCGGCCCACCAAAGAATTTAACCCCACGAGCTTCATTTCATCCATGCCTCTCAGTATTTTGGGAGTGTTTTAAAATGCAGACTCTATTTCTATTGAGGTTTGGTGAGCCCAACAGAACGGAAGACAACTGCCACTGAAAAGCCAATTTCTACTCTTCCCAGTTCTCAGAGGAGGGGCCGCCCACCTGGGGCACCTGGGCTGGTTGGAGGCAGAGCGAGGCGGGGGAATGTGGGCAGAAGCCTTTGCTGTGGTTCCTGTGGGAGGAACAGACGAGGCAGGGCGAACAGGTTTAGGATGGGCTAGTTTGAATAATTGGGGAGGGGGTGGTGCTACGGGGCCTGGGAATGGTCCCTGGTTGTCTGGTTCCTGGCCTTCGGGTGAGTGGGAGGAAAAAGAGTGACTCTGATGTCAAAGCTTCATGAAGGAAGTAGCTGTGGGCACGGGCTCTGGATTGGTTGGTTTGTATGCAAACGGCACACGCTAGCAAGCAAGCCCTTTACTATCGCCAGGAACTGGCTGACCCTCAGAGGGGCAGTCCCTTCAGAGCCAGCAAGAGTCCAAGACATCAAAGCATCAGAATAAAAAACTAGGAGGCGTGGCTATTACAAAGCCCAACAGCGCTTCACCTCTGAGGACACCTGGAGCAGCTGACCAAGCTGAGACGACACGGAACACAGGCTCCTTTGGTTTGGCCACTGATTCACGGGACAAGCAAACGCGTCGCTGGAGCCACAGCCCCCAGGGGCACCGGACAACCGTTCCCGCACGACCGGGAGGTGCAGGGTGACCCGTGCTGGGGCTCATACAGGGATGCCTTTTGAGTTTTCCACCAAACGCCTGAAAAATCACCTCCCTTAACAGTCCCAAAGTGAGGCAAACGTGGAGATACCAACGCTGTGAAAGCAATTTGAAAATGAAAACAATCTGCCCGAGAGCTTATCAAAGCCACTTCCCAGGGCCGAGGGGGCGTATCGGGCAGACTGCTCCGAGCCAGGGCCCTTCAACCCTGTCGGACTCGTTCTGGGTGTGTGCTCACCACACACCTTCCTGACAACCTGGCTGCCTCTGCGGCTGCCTCCGTGGAGGAGAGAAGGCGCCCGTCAGGGGGATGTGAGTGTCTAGTCCACTCAGTAAGTCCGGTTCTCACTGAAAATTACTATGCTTGCATTCCTTCCTTTTTGAAAAAAATTCCTGAAGTGCCTTACATTAATTATAATTTAGAAACAACAGGTAAGAGGTTGATAGTGCCGAGAGATTAAAAAAAAAAAAAATTCCCTAAGCCACACATTATTCTGTAGAGGTACCGTTCCTCTTTGTCACTGCTATAGGGAAGAAAAACCTCAGTGTTTTTGTCAAGTTTTGACAAGTCAGTAGCTGTATCTTCGGAATTGGTTCCCCAAAAAGTCAGAGGGCTCTTCCTTTTGAATAAATGACCCAGTGGGAATGTTACAGAGCCTTGAAATTGACTTGCCAATGACTGCAACAGGCACACCGGTGTCCTGAGTGCCTCACACTTCAAAAGTGTCACCTTGATGTGTCATTTGGCTGTTGTGCAAATGTGGTCACAGAAAAATAAAAGCTGCCATAAACGTTCCCCAACTCAAGTCAGAATCAGCTTCCAAAAAGGCTTTTCTTTCTCAGCACTAGTTTCAAAATCCTCCCATGGTCGAAACCGGTTTGGCTCAGTGGATAGAGTGTGGGCCTACAGACTGAAAGGTCCCAGGTTCGATTCCGGTCATGGGCATGTACATTGGTTGCAGGCACATTCCCGGTAGGGGGTGTGCAAGAGGCAGCTGGTCGATGTTTCTCTCTCATCGATGTTTCTAACTTTCTATCCCTCTTTCTTCCTCTCTGTAAAAACTCAATAAAATATATTTTAAAAAAAATCCTCCCATGAATTGAAAAGAAAGAATGGAAAGGAAATATGGTTATAGGCATTCGAAGTTAAATCTTTCACGTCAACCAAAAAGCGGTAGAGAGTTCACATCCTAAGAGTCCTGAATATAGCTCTGATTTTTGTCCAAAATGAGGGAAAGCAGGCACAGGATGCAACTAATCAGACTTCCTATTTGCTAACACAGTAGATATGCATATAGTATTGCCTGTTAATTAAATTATCAAAAGTCTTCTTGGACTTTTTCTAGAAACTTGTAAGTGTTCTGATTAGATAGAACAAACCCATTCAATCGAGGTCTCTTTTCCTGAGTCTGCTCATTAAAGAGCTTTATGGTTCCTCTGGGAAATCTTCGGGTCTGCCAGAGCAGATCCTGTTTTGTGAGAACCTCAAACACTTCACATTACTGGGTTTTGTCAAGCCCAGACTATCTCCCACGGTCATTAACACACTATGTTCATTCTTGCATTTAAATGGCTGCTTCTTGTTAAAGAGAAAAGTGAGTGAGACACAACATGAGTTATGATAAAATGATTTCCTACCTTGTAGTCATATACTCAGCTCTATGACCTGCAAGAAAGAAAAAAAAAAAAAAATCAAAGGAAGTAAATGAAATGGAATCTGTGGGATGCATTTGGCAATGTTTTGTATCATCTGTCCACTATTTTAAAATTTTAAGTTTTTAATAACTTACACCATTTATGGCAGAAAACATGAAGGTTGCATATAGTGATAGGCAAATAATTCAAAGTAAATATTTCATAAGATCTATACATAAAATTTAAAAAAATCTATAGATTGAAGAAACATGTTTTACTTGGCAATTTGAGGCAGGGCTATTTATTTACTTAAATGAGAAGTGGCTACTTGATCCTAACTATAAGTTCAAGGATGAAATACAAATAAAACATATCCCAGAATGTTAGTTATTCCCTCTGGCTTGATTGTCACCTCATAAGGGGAGATGTAGGGGTCACACAGGATTGGGAGAACTCAATTTCCTTTAGATTAAATTGGTATTCTTTCTATATTATGAAATCGGGGCGAGGCATTGCATTTTCTAATCAGAAATGACATTTGCAGATATTAAAGTAGAAGGACGTTAAATTATGCTACATTCCACCAACTTGCAAGTGAAAAGTCCTCCGTTATTTAAAACGTGAGGTTCTTCTCATACATTCAGACTTTGTGACTCGTTTTAAATAACAGCTCTATATATTTGTGGTGTTCCTACAAACTGTGCTAATGTCACGTCTGAATGTGTCTATGGTTGCTGTCTGCTCTTTTTTACAGTTAGGGCGGAGCCGTAGGAAAGGGGTGTGGGAAAGTGAACCATTCAACTGGTTTTGTTTGCAAAACGATGATATGGTCCTCAAACAGCTTGGCAGAGGATGGTCATGTTGTTGTAGCACAAACAGGTGAGCCCAGTGAGTCAGACCTGAGGGCAGGGCCAGTGTAACAACAGCAGACAAAAAAAGCTGGCTCATTGGGAATGGTAAACGAACACTCCCAGGCTGCAAAAGACTTTCACTCAATTATCTGCTTTTCAATAACTAAGTAAATACAACGTTTTTCATTAATATCCGTTTACTAAACAAGAAGCGACACTTAATATCAGAAAATACCTTTCTCAATACAGATCCAGGCCACTGTTGGCAGAATCAGGTTTTAGCCATGATTTGGAGGGGGGTGAAGGGTATGGAAAAGAATTAGATTTCCCTCTGCTCCCATTTAACGTAAGTCCCTTCCTTCTCCGGCCTTCTGCTACTTTGGGGGGAGAAAAGAAAAGAGAACTCTAGAATAATTAAAGCTCTTTGAAAGTGGGAGAAGGTCTCTCAGGAAGTGGGGATGGCAGATAGTGAGCCGTGGCATCTATGAGATATCCTTCAGCACGAAGCTGGCTACACAGACTTCAAGTTCAGGGAGCAGGCAGGGCTGGTGATTCAAATTTGAGAGTCACTATCACTTATGTTGTGCTGGGGCTATGGGACTAGCCAAGATCACCCAGGGTGAGTCATTAGAATGAGGAAAGGGCTGAGGAAGTATCTGGCTTGTGCTATCCTGTATTCTGCCATGTTGCCTACTCTACTATAATATAAAAGGATAATACAAACTATCTATTGTAGTAACAATAATAAAAACAGCAGTGATAGCTACCATTTATTTTGGTGCTGTATTAATTCACAACTTTCAAAACAATGTTATTGAGTAGGTAGTAGTATTATTAGTAAGTCTTTTCTTCCTTCTGGCAAATACTTTGAAAGACCACAGAAGAAAAGCATGGATTATGCCTTACACTTCCATCTGCTCCATATGGCTAAATATCAGATACCGAAGGTCTGATAAATTTAACAAAATTATGAAATAAGTTTAATAAATACTTTGCTATTCTTGTTAAAATATCCCAACCAAATGTTCTCTGGAGTTAGAAAAAGATCCTATATAAAATGGCTTAAAATCATTTGGCTCCATCCATCTATGGTTAATGGTACGAGATAAAAAATTAAAAATCTGTGAAAGATGCATTTTGATTAATGAACCATGAGCAAGCTTTGCAAGCACTAGCCTTCACAGAGTAACCGCAACCACCACATCCATTTTCTTTGGCGAATGGTACAGAGTGTGTCTCAACTGATGAATGAGGTTTTATTTTTTAATCAGCATCATCATTAGTAGATCAATAACGCACAATCTTAGAAGAACCAGCTTCCCAGAGAAGTGTGAAAGCTTCCAGTGGTCAGAAGATTCTATGTCAATCATTTCCTCTGGAAGGTTACTTAATTATTAAAAAGAACAGACAGCTTATTCCCCCTCCCCCCTAATATAGGCCATCTGGAGAAAAAATAAAATAAAAAAGACTCAGGGCTATCCTCTTTTTGATATGGACACCTAATTTGTGCATTCTCACATTTTCACTTGAGAATTTGGAGGTAAATGATTCTCCATGCCCAAGTGTGTTTTTTCCTTCACAGAATATAAGGGAAAACTAAAATGCAGTTTGGTGGCAATTTGAGGTTTTAAAACACCAATGAAATAAAATATTTAACATGCACACAACTCAAACAGAACGGAGGTCCCTAATGAATGACTGACCAGGACTCCTGGCATTCCTTCCCAGTCCCCTTTCTTCCTTCAATCACTGCAGGGCTTTTCTGAAAATCAATTCCTTAACCACCATCTTCTGATAGTTCTTCCTTAATATTAATCACTGCTTTTCTGAAAGTCAATTCCTTAACAATCATCTTCTCTTTGAAAGTATGTTTGTACCCCTGCTTAAAGACAAGGAATTGTGTGAAGATAACCTACGTGATTCCTTTGTCAGAAACCGGAAATAATATAACATAGGACAGCTTCCAGTCCGACTTCCTGTGCTTTGCAAACATCGCACCGATATGTGCGTCCCCTTAATTCAGACTAAGAAGCCAACGTGAACACGAAGGCTCATTACTAAAAACGAAAAAGGTTTCTGTGTTCACTGACTGGGCTCAGCTGAACTTCTCCAACTGGAAAACAAATGATGTCACAAAAGGATGTTACGGGTTTGCTGAAGGATAAAGAAGATGACAACGACTTCGGTCTTAACAACTCACGATGCTTCTTTCTATCCCAATCGCTTTCAAAGACTTGGAATTCTGAATTTCGATGGTGCCCCTTTAAGAGCTCAATGTAGCTGCTCAGAAATGTTGTAAATCAAAGGACGTATGCGGCCACGGGTAGCCTGCCAAAAGCGAGCGGTAAGACAGGCCAAACACATGTCTGTAGTTACAGTTTCGGCCGTGTACGATCAACTGCTAAATCCTGGGTCAGGCTCTATTTGTTTTTACGACGAAGTTTCTGGAGCAGTGAGGCTGGTATAATTGAGAGATGTGATTTCTGTATAAAAAGTCAGGGCTGTCCCCAGGCACACCGTCTGATCTTGTGCTACTAACTTCACTTAGCCAAACCGAGCCTCGGATTCCTCCAGAAGGGCTTGCCGGTGAATTATCTCACCATGGACAGGCGCCACAGACTCTCCTCGTGTCCTCTGGTGTCAGCCTATTAACACGAACAGGGCTCGCCTGAAAAGCCAGCAGGCTCACAGTGGCTGGCTAAAAGGTGGTGTGGGCTCTTTGTGCCCAGTTTTCCTCTGGGCAAAGCTGCCAGTGTCAGCCCCAGGCAGTGACCGACAACTGGGGTGCTGCCAGGCCTTCACGCGGGGCAGGCCCGGGAGCAGAGAGGTCTGCCACCGGCGGGCGGAGACCAGGGTGTCTGCTGCCACTGGGTGGGAACCGTCCAGTTTCACATGCAGAACAAGTTTAGTCCGATAAGGCCTGGGACACCTGCACACAGCTTGTGTCACTCCGACCCTGGAAACTACTGAAAGAAATTCCAAGGGCAAGAAATCCTGGCTTAGAGTTCACACAGTACACTGTTCAGCAGCTACAGAGAATCTGGAGCGTAGATTTAGCACATTGGCTAAAATACAGCCCTGGCTAATAACGGCATGTCAAATAATATTAACCAGTGGGGCTCTCTCTCCCGGAACAGAAGGGGATCTGTGAAGAACGAGTTCCATCAAAGTTTCAGAATGAGATCCCAAGTGTGTTAACACATATGTTTGCATGTGGTGCCAAGAATGAATTCACCCTATGCTTAATTCCCTCCAGCTCACAATTTCTGAAGTGGTACCAGTCCTGCAGGGAAGGGCTCTGTGCCTAAATATCCATCTACACTTACGATAAATCTATACGTTGGGTCTGGCAGCCAACCTTGGGGCAGCAGTGAAATATCAGGCAGTTGTAAAAGGTGGAGGGGAGAAAAGGGCTGATGCTAGGAAGAGGAAAAGAGGAAAAACTGGGACACAGTTGCTGAGGCAGAAGAATTCAAAGGATAAAAAGGTCTATTTTTTTTTTAAAGTTGAAACCTCTGTTACAGAAGAGCTGAAAGACTAGTACGGGGAACATTCACGTTTCTTTCACTTAGATTTCCCATTGTTAACCTTCTGTCACATTGGCCTTATTGAGCTCTCTCTCTCTTTCTCTCTCCTGAACCATTTGGAAAGTTGCAGGCATTATGACACTGAGCAAGCATTTTTTAAAGAATAAGATACTTGTCCGTCATAACCATACCACCATGTATAAGAAAATTAATATTAATTCAATAATACCATTTAACTGTCTATCTTTAAATTTCCCAAATTGTCTTGAAAATGCCATTTATAACTTTTGCTTTTAAATTCAGAATCAAATGAAAGTTCATATATTGTGTTTGGTTATTTTATTTTTTTAAGACAGTTTTTAGTAGTATAAATGTCATTTTTTTTCCAAGTGAAATTGGCCTTGTAGCTTAGAGTCTGGCGTCCTACGTGTAATAAAGGAGCCGTAGGTCATGATGACCTTTTTCCATGTACTAATTCCCCGAGGATAATAGGTCCTTTGGGGAAAACAAGGAAATAAGGTGATATACTTCTTCATGGGTAAGGAAGTTTCTAGAACGGTAGGAGGCAAGAGTTTACATCAAACAGGAGTAATCTGTTTTTGTCCTGAGTTACTCCCACAACCCAGTCCCCTCATTTTCCACTTCCATACATATTCTCTTTCACTCTTTGTAATTTCTAGCAAGATCTAGTGTGAATAAAAGGTAATTCAAGTTACAGACTACGAGGCACTTAAGACAGGAGCTTTGCTTATATTTATTTTTTTTCCTTTTAAATTTCCTGAAGATAGAAAAACAGCCAACATTTATATAGTTCCCTTTGCCTATAATTCCCCCCTCCCCACTTTTCTCATTTGAAGTTTATAGTATCCAGTAAAATATGCAGCTCAGAACAATGCCTGACACAGAAAGCCTTATAAGTGATAACTATTATGTTTTTTGCTATTATCAAATAGAACAATACATTTAGCTAGGTTATGTCTTAACTAAAACCAATGGCTACAGAAAGAAAAAGTCACCCGAACTGGTTTTACTGGTTTCTAGAGTCCAAAAAGGCATTCAATGGGACAAAAATATTGCCCAATAAAACATATGGGGCGGGGCTGGAGGGGTGGAAAAGATGTGGGAGGAGGGGGATGAGGGGGGGTCACAGGTGGAGGCCAATGCACCTCCTTCCGACTTCTCTACTGATAGGAGCAGTGTGCTCTGAAGGTCCTCCCCCAGGAGCTCAGTGGTGGCTATTCAGCCCTCCCTACATTTCCCTGTTCTTCCTCAAGGTTAGCACCACGCTCACAAAGAAAACAGTTCCAGGGAGAACTTGGTAAATCCAGAAACAGACAAAGGCAAATCTAAAAAGCGGTGTCCTCCGCTTCTTAAAGCACAAATCCCCCATCCACACACATCATGGGACGCATACACGACACAATATATAACCCACGTCACCTTCCCATCTCCTTCAGATAACTGACCTTCTCCGAGGGTCCTCTGCAACAGGTCATGCTTGGCTTGAAGTTTGGTGATGAGATTACTGCCTTCCAAATATTCTCTGAGTTTCTGGAAAAGGAAAGAGCAATTTTTAACTTTAAAAAAATATTCAAGCCCTAACTGGTTTGGCTCAGTGAATAGAGTGTCGGTCTGCGGACTGAAGGGTCCCAGGTTTGGTTCTAGTCAAGGGCATGTATCTTGGTTGTGGGCACATCCCCAGTAGGGGGACAGGAGGCAGCTGATCAATGTTTCTAGCTCTCTCTTCCTCTCCTTTCCTCTCTGAAAAAAAAAATCAATAAAATATATATTTTTTAAATGTCAAGCTCTCGCCAGTCTTGCTCAGTAGATAGAGCATCAGCCTGCAGACTAAAGAGTCCCAGGTTTGATTCCCAGTCAAGGGCACATGCCTATGTTGCAGGCTTGATCCCAAATGTGAGGTGTGCAGGAGGCAGCCAATTAATGATTCTCCTCATTGATGTTTCTATCTCTCTCTCCCTCTCTGAAATCAATAAAAATATATTAAAAATATAGTCCATCTCAAGGGACATCCCATAGGCTATCTAGAATCCAGCTGCTTTTATCTTGTAGATCCTAGAACCTTGCTACACACAGTGTGTCTGCTGGGAGCCTGTTCGAGGTGCAGACCCTCAGGTCCCTCCTCCCCTGACCTATCGCCCCCAGAACCTACATTTTAATAAGTTCTCCTGGTGCCGAAACCGGTTTGGCTCAGTGGATAGAGTGTCAGCCTGCAGACTGAAGGATCCCAGGTTCAATTCCCGTCAAGGCATGTACGTTGGTTGCGGGCACATCCCCAGTGGGGTGTGTGCAAGAGGCAGGTGATTGCTGATTCTCTCTCATTGATGTTTCTAACTCTCTATCCCTCTCTCTTCCTCTTTGTAAAAAAATCAATAAAATATATATTAAAAAAAAATAAGTTCTCCTGGTGACATGTGTTTCCATCAAAGTTTAAAAGTTCTGTTTTAGTTTAGTCCTCTTTAAATGTATCTGTAGAACAGAATTACCTGAGGAGCTTTGAAAAAGTACTAACTCCTAAACCCTATCCCAGATGGATTAAATCAGAAACTTTTGAGGGTAGGCAGAGGCCCTTATTTTAATAAAGAACCTAGGAGGTTCTGATGGAACTCCAGAAGCAGTGTGTGGGGATCCCAGAGCTGAGCTCCAAGGGTGGCTTGGGAAGCAATAGATGGGTGGGAAAGGTCTGGCCAAGGACTGTAGAAGGCCTGCGAAACGATTGGGTCTGGTCCTGCCCAGGCATTAGGGATGAGGTAATTAAATGTTTGGCCGAAGACAGCAGGCTAATTTTTAAATTGATAATATTGTATGGCCATGGAATGATGTTATAAATATCCAAATGGCCCTTGGCAGAAAAAAGGTCCCCGCCCCTGTAACAGACGCACCATGAAGTAGAACTGCTCGGTCTCCTGCTGGTTCGCTCTTCTCTTGGCGATGCTGGGCTTGCTCAGGTAGGTCTCAGAGACGGTGGACTTCACGGACTCCGTGGAGCGGCTGTGTTGGAAGCATTCAGAAACATCGTAGTCTTCGATGGTGACCATATCTTGTATCGTCTGCAAGGTGGCTTCGGTTGTTTTCTTGACCTGGGAACAGAAACATATTTCTCACATTTGTATATAATTTCGTGAATCCCACAAATATGCAGTGAGAATCCACTCTGTCGGCAGAAATGAGGACACAGGACCTGCCCCAAGAGGTTCAAAGTCTATTAGGGGAGTCAGGTAAACAATACCTCATATCACCAATATAAAGGAAAGGTTTTCTTAAAAATTATCCTGAGGACATCACTTTATGCGTGAGTCCTTATAATCTCACATATCATAGGGTGCTCACTCAATTACAGTTTTCTCTCTCTTTATTGATTAAGGTATTACATACGTCTCCTTATCCCTCCACTGCGCGCCCCCCCCCCCCCCCACACACACACTCTTGCACCCTGGTGTTTGCATCCATTGGTTAGGCTTATATACATGCATACAAGTCCTTTGGTTGATCTCTCCCCCTTCCCCTCACGCTCCCCTACCTTCCCTCTGATGTTTTATGATCAGTGCTTCTCTGTCTCTGGTTCTGTTTTCGTTTATCAGTTTATATTGTTCATTATATTCCACAAACAAGAGAGATCATGTGATATTTATCTTTCTCTGACTGGCTTATTTTACTTAGCATAATGCTCTCCACTTCCATCCATGCTGTTGCAAATGATAACAACTCCTTATTTTTTACAACAGCATAGTATTCCATTGTATAGATGGTGCCACAGTTTTTAAGAACTATAGAAATGATCCCTGAAAGTATAGTCTTGCCACAGTTTTTAAACCCACTCATCTGCTGATGGGCACTTGGGCTGTTTCCAAATCTTAGGTATTGTAAATTGTGCTGCTATGAACATAGGGGTGCATATATCATTTCTGATTGGTGTTGCTAGTTTCTTGGGATATATTCCTAGAAGTGGGATTACTGGGTCCAATGGGAGTACCATTTTTAGTTTTTTGTTAATTATCTTTATTAAAAATATATTTTTTAATTGAAGTAAAACTACATATAGAAAAATGCACAGCCTGGCCGGCATGGCTCTGTGGTTGAGAGTCGACTTATAAACCAGGAGGTCACAGTTCAGTTCCTGATCAGGGCACATGACTGGGCTGCAAGAGTAGGGAGTGTGCAGGAGGTAGCCAATCAATGATTCCTTCTCATCATTGATGTTTCTCTCTCTCCCTTCTCTGAAATCAATAATAAAAATTTTTAAAAAAATATATTTTATTGATTTTTTACAGAAAGGAAGGGAGAGAGAGAGCTAGAAACATTGATGAGAGAGAAACATTGACCAGCTTCCTCTTGTACACCCTCTACCAGGGATGTGCCAGCAACCAATATACATGCCCTCGACCGGAATCGAACCTGGGACCTTTCAGTCCGCAGACCAATGCTGTACCACTGAGCCAAACCGGCTTCGGCCAATAATAAAAATGTTTTTAAAAATACACAGACTGTAAGTGTATGGTTTGATGAATATCACAAAATAAACACTTATATGACCACCACTCAGATAAAGAAATAAGAGTATATTATTAATGTTTTTGGCTTCTCCCAACCATCACACAACCTTTTGTCTTCTCTAAAGGTAGCCACTATCCTGATTTCTAATATCAGATATCAGTTTTTCTTTTTTGTGCTTCATGTAAATGGAATCCTACAGAATTTATGATTTTTATCTTGCTTCTTTTGTTCAACTTTATGTAGTTGACTTATTCATTTCTTGTGAGTACAGTATTTCATTGAATACTCACTATAAGAATACACCATAATTCATCCCTTTTACTGTTGGCAGATGACTTACTTCTAGTTTTGGGCCATTACGATTAATGTTGCTATAAAATGTTTTTGTTGGACCATACATATGTGAGTAAAATCGCTTATAAGGTGTGCCAGACTGTTTTCCAAAATTATTGTTCTAACTGATATTCCCACCAGCAAGGTAGGAGACTTCCTGTTTCTCCACATCCTCAAGAGTTGGTATTGCCTGCTTCTAAAATTTAAACCACTGTGTTGGTTGCATAGTGGTATCTCGTTGTGGTTTCAACATGCATTTTTCTGGTGCCTGAGATTGAGCATATTATATATTTAAGGCAATTTGGATGTCCTCTCTCGAAAACACTTTGTTCAAATCTCTTGTTCAATTTTCTGTGGGTTATGAGTATTTTTCTTACTTATTTGTAAATAGATATGAGTCTTTTATTAGTTATATGTGTTGTAAATATCTTTTACTATACTGTGCCTTGGCTTTTAACTTTTTATAGTGCCCCAATGAATGGTCTTTTATTTCAATACTAGAGGCCTGATTCACAAAATTCGTGCAAAAATAGCCCTTCCTAAAAAAAAAACCAAAAAAAAAAAAAAAAAAAAAAAGAGAGAGTAGCCCCCCCCCCCCCCCCCCCTCCCCGGCATCGTCTTCCCTCTGGCCATCAGCAGGCATCTGGGATCAGGGCTTCCCTCACAGCCCCAGAGTTGTCTGATTAGCATATTATGCTTTTATTATTATAATCATTTCACCAATCCTTCCCTTTATGATTTATGTGTTTTGTGTCCTTATTTAAGAAATATCTTTCCTATCTCATGGCCATGAAGATACTGTTCTGTTATCTTCTAGGAGCTTTTAAATCTACCTCCACATGTATCTTCCACAGTTAGGCTGTACTCCAGTTTTGCTTATCAATGTTTAACACAAATTGATAGCTTTACCCTTTTCCCCAGTGACAGAGTTGACAACATCTATCTCCATTAACTTCTCCTGAATTATATGCTATTTTTGTAATGTAGTATAAGAGGATATATGTAAACATTTATATATATATTTAAATGTAAGATATTAGTTGTCATGTATGGTCAGTGCCCATTTGGCTTTATCCATATATTTTATATTCTTTGATCCTTACTCACTATGTTTTTAAGAGCATCCTTTCTTTAGAAATTTATTCCAGGATGCTGGTGGTGAACGGTTTTTGTTGATGTGAAAATATCTTTTATTTCATCTTCATTTATGAAAGATATTTTTCCTAGTTGGCAGTTATTTATTTTCAATACATCAAACATATCACTGTACTTTCTTGTGGTTTCTGTGTTCCTGCTGAATGAGAAGCTTGCTGTCAGGCTATCACTATTTTGAATAAACTTTGCTTTTCTTTATCCAGCTGCTTTTATTAGTTCCATCATGATGTCTCTATGTAAGGATTTAAAAAATATATTGTACCTGGAATTTTGGGGGCTTCTTGAATTGTGTGATGTTTTCATATTCCCTGATAAAATTTTAGCCTTCATCTTTGCAAATATTTTCTCTGATTTATTTTTTTTATCATTTTTCATTTTGAGTGTTTAATTAGTATGCTAAACATTATTGTATTCTCTATACTGCTTATCTTTCTCTTCATATTTTCTACCTTTTGTTAGTCCATGCTGTATTTTGATTATTTTCTACTGATTTGTCTTCCACTTTGATAATTTACTCTTCGGCTGTGTCTAACCTACTGTTAAAACCATCCTCTGATTTATTAATTTGGGTTACTATATTTCTCAGTTTTAGAACTTCTAAGTGTTTCATTTCCAAATGTGTTAGTTATTTCACTGTTTATAGGTTATTGTTCCCTGTTGAAATCTAAGCTTAGTATTTTCCGGTGTATGAGACGACCCACTAATTTTACAGTTAAAACATAGGTTTAGGCCTATATTCGCTGTATAAGACTACCCCCTACTTCCGAGGCAACACCAGTTCTTTTTTTTAATAGACCGCCTCTCTGACTCTGGCCAATCTGAGCAGGCTTTTTACTAGAACTCATGTCTTATACAGCGAATATAGGCCTAAACCTATGTTTTAACTGTAAATTAGGGGGTCATCTTATACGCTGGAAAATACGGTAGTTTTCATCTACTTGAACAGAGTAACCAGCTCTTTTTTAGTTTGTTTCTAAAAATCCCAATATTTGTGGAGTTTCTACAGTTTGTCTACATTTATGTCTCTATTGTCTGATATGTCTGGCAATCATGTTTTGTTTCCTCCTCATGTGCCTAATTATTTTTGCTGGACATTTTTTGTAGGGTTATTTGAAATCTTGGTGTGATTATCAATCAGAAAGAATGTTTGTTTATTTTTTCAAACCATTAGGGGAACTAATATTTAAGAATCACTGGATTTTATTTCTGATATGGATCATAAAAAGTGTACATATACCATAATTTCAACAATAACAATTTTTTAAAAAGTTCCTGGAGTTGACATCAGCAAGATAGCAAAATTGGAGGTCCCCCATTCATATCTTTCCACAACCATTTGGCAGCCATCCATGGACAAAAGTGCATTTGGGGGAGGTCTTGCAAAACCTTGGTGGAGCCAAGATTGAGAAGGACTGATATGAGAAAAGCAGGTCTGTGCCCAGATGGTAGGCTTGCCAATGGTAATCCTGGTTACAGACCAAGAAACAGACCTGTACCCCTGTGAACACAGCTAAAGTTTTGCTGGGCTTTCGTCCTACCACCAGCATCATCCGCTACGGAACCCAGGCGGAGTCACACCACCTGTGCCTTAGGTAAGAGGCCTGCTGACCTTGACACACATCTAGTCGTTTTTAGCCCTGGCCAGGGAGCTGTCCTTCTCTGCCCAGGGTCTTGCCAGAGGGGTAGTGCCTAATCCAATAAAACTGTGTCCTTATAAAGAGGGGGAATTTGGACACACAAGCATAGAAGACAATGTGGAGACAGAGAAGATGGCCATCCTCCAGCCAAGGAGGCCGCTTGGGACAGGTCTCTCGCTCACAGCCTTCAGAAAGAACCAAGCCTTCTGACTCCTTGATCTCAGTTGTCCATGCTCTTGGAAGCAGACCTGTTGACTCTGGTCCAACAGCAGATCTTGAAGTGGCTCTGTAACTCAGCTCTATGCCCTCCCAGCCTCAGACCAGGAGTAGTCCTATCCACCGAGGGGGGACATGGCCAACCATGGCTCCAGAAAAAGGTCCTCCAACCTCACTCGGACTGGAGATCTTGAAGTAGCTCTGTATCTTGGCTCCAGACAAGCTCAGCTACAGTCCAGAAGCAG